ACGACCGACTGCAGATTTTCGTCTCCTCGAGTGCCCGTGCCAGCCGCACCTTCACCTGCATCACTGACAGGGGGAAACCGGGTTGAAAAATCCGAAAGTATTAAGTCGACCTATGCCGGGATTGAACCATGGACAATCGTAGGCTCTATAACTCACTGAGTCACTGCAGCTCCCTTGACAAAAGATGAGAACAGGGATATTGATGTAAGAAATCCCCAAATAAATTAATTTGACGTCATCAATATGTTAATATGTATATAATTATATACAGGTCAATTACAATTAGCTCTTGGGCAACAGTATTGATATCGATAGAAGAAAGTAAGTCAGGACACCCTGGTGAGGCGATTGGACTACTCTAATTACCTACTCAGATAAACCACCAGAGGTAGAAAACGACATATTTCTTTATATGATGTCTGTTCTGGAATTTACCTATAACTGTGGGGCGTCTAACCGTTTAGCCGACAACCGCCAACTATTTTGTGCCAACGACATTGGGCCAGCCATCTGCAATCTGGTCTTAATTTCCCAGACCAAGAAGAGTAGCAGGAACGAGCCACCATAACACCAATAATAATATTGTTCGGAAGTAATTTGGATGGCGCAAAAAAGGATGAGTCGCTTTGATGCTAGGCCTTCAGCACATTTTTGCTCCTTACAGATCCTTCAGCAAAGAGAATTGGACAAAGAGTGGAAAGATGCTTATTTCTGAAAATATCAAGCCGATCAGGAGAAGAAAGGCCATATTCAATAAAATGTTCAATATGCGTCCTGTATTAACATAATTTTAGAGAGTAAAACAAGAACAATCTTTGCGTTATCCCTTGACGTTTAAGCACTACACTAATAATATTTTATTAATTCGAATTATCCAATGAGTTAGCAAATTCTAAACTAGGAAGCCATATACAGTTTACGTCATTTTACGTCAAAGCATTGAATATACAGCACAGCGCGGAAAAAATAATTCGAAAAAAACACATATTCTATTATTAGCTGGTGTCTTAAATTTCATTCAGTATACTTTCCCAGCGGACCCTACCCTAAACTTGCTTATAAAGTGTGACGTTAAAAATAAACAATGTCATTCAAAAAGAACAAAAGGGAATTTCCAAGTTTGAATGACGTCATGCTATATATAATAAAATAAAAGTAGGCCTATGTCATTGTTTAAATATCGCACTGAATAGTCTCTATACGTCAATAAAAGTTTGGGAAAACAGTTTATACCTTGACATACTTTCACATCATTACCTAACTTACTTATTGTGGGTTTTTTTTCATACGCGTGGGAAGCCGAAGGTGGTGTGACTGAGCTATATTTGGATTCGGAAAAATACATTTTGCATTAGTAGCTGGTTATTAGTTCTGGGGTCATTGCATATCTTACTTCTTTGTGGAGTTTTTCCATACGTTTGGGAAGGTGGAATAGAGCTATATTTGGATTGTAAGTTCCAATTTGGAGACTCTCGGCAATTTCCGAAAAATCGAATCAAACAAATCAGACCAAGGTGATAATGCAAAATAAAGTGAGCCCATGTCAATTACGATTCAACGATTCAAAGCATTTCGCCCTACATCAAGAAAATCATCTCCTACTTTCAACTAGATGGTCGTAGAAAACAGCATTTGATTTCAAAGCAAGAATACAGCGCCTTTGAGAGTTTTTTTTTTGTGATTCCAAGTCTAGCGGTCAGCGTATGTTTTCTTACATGGCAGACTGCCGCATTGTTTATCTGAAGTAATCCATACCATTGTATATTTTAACATGTCCAGGATTGTGCTACCTACTTGGTAATCCTAACACATTGTACAAGTCAGTCTAATCTTTGTTTTGTCTATACAAATAATAACAGGTCCAACTCAAATATTGACTATGGTGTATTGGTGAAGACGATTGTTATTTAACCAAGCACCTGCTCCCCCGGACAGTCACTAACTCGTGTACAATATCAGATGGTAGAAGGTATACTGTCACAGCTGAATATTAGTAACAACTGGACAACATCTGATACATTATCCAACGTCCAATATATTGTCACGTCAAACATAGGGTGGGATTACAGTATTATCTAAAAGCAAGGTTTTAAATCGTTTGTCATTGGGAGAAGGTGTTTAAAGTGTCGTGAATCCTAAAAGATCCCACCGGAAGATTACGCTATCTTCATGATCACAGTATATGACTTTGGTCCCGATGTCATTTCAATATCTATCATCCTTAAAGTGGGTTCATGTGCCCTCACAGTTCAAAACAACTCATTGGATTAAATGCTCATATCAAGCAACTGCGATCAACATGACGATTGCAGACTGCAGTCGTTCAAAGTGCTCACTTAGAATCAGATTTTCCCAATTTCATGAGGTCTTTGAAAGTCTAGTTTTACTTTTTCTACAATCCAATTAACAAACTAATTGTAGTAAAAGCCGTTGACTAGATAGAGCTTACTTAATTTTCAACATAGTCGAGCATTTGTGCTCACCTCGGTCCGAATCCTAAGCATAAAGACAAGCAGTTCACTTTACTTTTAAGTATAATAAATAGTAATTGAAACTATACAGACAAATATTATATATTGTGTTGGATACTATTTGACGACCTAAAATATAGTTCATTGGTTGTTATGTTGAATTCAAACCCCGATGTGCACAAAGTGCTCGAATATACCATACTATACTTCCTATTTCATTTCAATAGTGTTTCCCGTTCTTTAAATCCCCTCGATATTTTGATATTGAATTACCCTTACTTTATATCTATTATTATATACCATACAATGGCACACTACTAATGCAGTATAATGCAACTGTATTGAATACATAGTAATACAGTAATGTCTTTCGTACTTGAAATTGATTTGGGTTCCCATGAATTTTATCTTGATTTTTTATCTTGAGTAAATATAGACTTTGCTTTGCCTTGTAGTCCTACAATATTTTGCGCTTGCTTTGCACCTTGAAATTAAGTCCTATATTGGAATATTAGCATCAAATTTAAAATTATCCGACTCAATGAGGATTATTAATTCGAAACTTGTCGGCAGCCAGAGGTGAACTCAAGTCAATAATAATTGACCAACCACAATATTTAGCCATTTATAATTTGGCTTACACCCAAAGTCATTCATACAAGCAATTTAAAATTTAATTTTGAATATCAAATGAGAGAGAAAAAGAAATCTATTCTGAGAACAAACATTCGGAGGGTACATTATGTATAAATCGATAAACAGAAAACAGTTCATATCCTAAAACAGTGACGTTATATTGATGCAGCTCTTTTCTTTTCAATAATTTTCATTGCAATATATATTTGGTATATCAAATACTCGGGAACTACTTTTAGCCATCGTATGCTGTGTATCAACGACCCTTTGATGTTTAATAAATGGCCTTTTCTCTATGACTATGCATGTATCATAATTCAAAAGATTCCGTCCTTCATTTAAATGGTATAATTTCCACTTGACTCTTGATTTTTCATGAAAAAACGACTTACATTAGCAAGTTATTGACAAACTCGTGGTATTATTTCCATGGGGAAAAGGCTATAGTACACGAGAACCTGAGAACTATTTTAATGTAAATGCTTTGATGAATAATATTCATTGAGTGTGGCTACGACTGAGACACCTCACAGTTGACTATCTTTCTAATAAAGTTGTTCTAGTATGACAATAGCCAGTTTATCTATTAGAGTAGTGCTGCTCATGTTGACTGCAGCAGGTCAGACAAGATGTTTTGAATTCGTATCTAAACATTTCCGTTAGATGTCTACCAATTGAAAAATCAATGTGCCAGGGTTATTCCATCGAAATATTTATTATTCACGCTCCCTCCCTGCCGTACTTACTCCTCTTCTGTAAGTTATATTCGGGATAGGGATCTTTAATGTATGTCGATGGCCATGCTACAACATTATCACATTTGTCTTGGTTATATTCTACTCCAGGACTTCAAATTACTCTTATTGGCCTCAACGTAACAATTAGACATGACCGTGACTGCCAGTTGTCATCAACTATCTTACTTCCGGGATGGTATTTTTATTTCCCACCACATAGTCGATGAGGATTATCTCAGTTATTTTGAATAAATCCCTTTGTTTTTCAGCAAAAGGTTCTTTACATACAAATCACACAATACAATGGGGTTATTTTCCTATTTCGCAATCAATAATATTAGAATTTTTTTATTATGTATTGGTAAAGGAATCCAAGAAAAGTTCTATTATTAACTATATTACGAAATGACTTTACAATACAAGACCTGTCGTGAATATTGATAGTATGTGCCTAGTTCTACAGGCGGTGTTTATGAAAAGGATATCACGCAACTGGGAAGTAATATATTACGGTAGTTTTTAATATACAAATATATACATATGAAGGTTGACCAACCATATCACACTGTAGACATATAATCTGTCATCGGCGCTTCACTGGAGTAGTTGCACTAATTAAAATAGCTGGTGAAACTCATCCTCTAACACTTTATAACTTGTGACAAAGAAAGTTTGTTTTGTGGATTAACAGATTTTAGTTATAATAACTATTTGTGATTTTGGTTCTTATTTTAGAAAGAATTTTCAGTTTGTGACAGTTACTGTTTTACTGTTAAAAGTTTTAAATTACGTTACAAAGTGTGTTCATTCAACAGTAGATGTTTTAACTGAGGGGAAACTTTACTTTGGAAACTATCCACCAGTAAATTCCAAGAAACGAATGTAAAGAAATTAACTATACGCTCTATTGGTTTTGAATAAATGTTGAAATAAAGGTAAGTTTATATTGTCAGTGTTTTATATATATGTATAAAATAGTAGTTGATTTATAGATATCAATGCTGAAAATGTGAATGCATACTTAAACCATGAATACACTATATTGAAATAATATATTATTCATTATTCTACAAAAGCTAAAGGTGGCTTCAAGGGTATTATTATATCTCTATGCATAGAACAACTTCAATATGTCACGAGAAAGAAAAGCTTCAATATGTCACGAGATAGGGCAGCTTTAATATGTCAAGAGATAGGACAGCTTCAATATATCCAAGAAACGAATGTAAAGAAATTAACTATACGCTCTATTGGTTTTGAATAAATGTTGAAATAAAGGTAAGTTTATATTGTCAGTGTTTTATATATATGTATAAAATAGTAGTTGATTTATAGATACCAATGCTGAAAATGTGAATGCATACTTAAACCATGAATACACTATATTGAAATAATATATTATTCATTATTCTACAAAAGCTAAAGGTGGCTTCAAGGGTATTATTATATCTCTATGCATAGAACAACTTCAATATGTCACGAGAAAGAAAAGCTTCAATATGTCACGAGATAGGGCAGCTTTAATATGTCAAGAGATAGGACAGCTTCAATATATCAAGAGATTGGACAGCTTCAATATGTCAAGAGATTGGACAGCTTCAATATGTCAAGAGATAGGACTGCTTCAATATATCAAGAGATTGGACAGCTTCAATATGTCAAGAGATAGGACTGCTTCAATATGTCAAGAGAAAGGGCAGCTTCAATATATCAAGAGATTGGACAGCTTCAATATGTCAAGAGATTGGACAGCTTCAATATGTCAAGAGATAGGACTGCTTCAATATATCAAGAGATTGGACAGCTTCAATATGTCAAGAGATAGGACTGCTTCAATATGTCAAGAGAAAGGGCAGCTTTAATAATTATGAGATAGGGCAGGTTTAATATGTCAAGAGATAGGGCAGGTTTAATATGTTAAGAGATTGGACAGCTTCAATATGTCAAGAGATAGGACAGCTTCAATTATTATGTCAAGAGATAGGGCAGGTTTAATACGTTAAGAGACAGGACAGCTTCAATATGTCACGAGATAGGGCAGCTTTAATATGTCAAGAGATTGGACAGCTTCAATATGTCAGAGCTGTGCCATAATCTCGAATGGCTTCAAAACTTGAGATAAATACAAAATATAGGATTAAAAATACAGATTTGTAAGTGGATATCGATCCTTTTGATACTCTCTATCTCAAGTCATTGTATATTTCTATCGGGCAATTGCTTATATGTAATATTTTCATGTACGCAAGTCGTTGGATTCATAAAAACTGGATTTAAACTTTTGTTTCGATTATTAGTATATATTCTAATTAAGCCCCCATTGTCCGTACAGTACTTATAAGTTTATATTGTATTATACCTCTAAACAACGATATTATCTTTCGTTCTTTCCAAAACTTAACTGTCATAGAAAATAGACTAGTGATGAGCAATATATGTCACCACTGAACTAATAAACTATTCAAATTCAGACACTAAACTGAAACAACTTGCATGATATCCCACTAACTTCCTAGTAAGTAAAGCTGTAATTGGAAAATATTGCGAGTAAGTACTTTCTGTCTTTGAGATCTTATCAATCATGGTGTATTTGATATTTTTGAAATTCCAACACTGAATAGAGGATGGCTTTAAAGGACTTTTCTACACAGTTCTGGTGAAAAAACAATCATTGATGTTGACGAATGGCAAAGTCAGTTGTCAGTGGAATGAGGAAGATTGTAAAGATGTCAGCATGAAATAATTAATGTCACTTTGCGAGAACAAACAATCTTCACAACGATAAAATGCAAATCTGGAACTTCCTCTTCGTGTCTTTTTTTATGTGTGTTATATTCATGATCTGACTAAATTGTCATCCATCTCATGTTCTATGTCATATAATTTTTAACCAATCAGTTGCTCTGTTCAATAAAAGGTGAGGGTAGTGGCTGAGCCAGGTTTATGCCCAAGGGAGGGGAGGCAAATATCTGAAATTGCCCGAACTTCTCGCCTATTTATTAGATTTTTGCCCGAGAGACTTGCTTTTGGGGCTGCGAAGGGGGCGGCTGCACCCTCTGCCCAGCACCCTCCCCCCTCCTTCTTTGGCTCCGCCACTGAATCAAGGATATAATTATTCATTGTTACCTAAGTATGGACTTCTCTCGTATTTTACCCGTATTATTCTAAAAGACAACACTGAGAGATGTTGCGTTCTATTCTACTGAAAGTAATTTATTGAAGAATTTTGCAAGATCAACGAAAGAACAAAGCACAAAAATCTCCAATTTAATCAGATTGTTCACTGCGATATAATGTAAAATATTTAGATAGAAGACCACTAAATGTATGCTTAAAATCTAGTAAAAGCAGAAATAAACTCCACTTAGATAGACTTAGTGAACTATCAGGTCACATAAGAGCTATTTAACAATGCCAAATAAGTGGAAAATATGGAACAATTGAATCTCATATACACGATAACATGAACAGCCCCGGTTCGATTAGCCTGTATAGACAGCAACTCTGGAAATATATTTGAAGTAAACATATTCAGGCCCCTAGCCAGACTTGATTATTCGGAGTGGCAAGTTATGCTGTATGGTGTTTAGTTGCAGTAATGAAATTGGTTGGTTTTTTCAAGACCTGAAGAACACATTTGCGTTATCAATAAAGAAAATGAACTCACTGAACAGGGCGTGATATAATGGTGGGATGTAAATAAGTAGAAAAAAATGAAGTCTAAATAGAGAAATTGCCGGTGGTTAATTAAACCTGTATTAATTAAATTAATTAGTTGTACTATTCACTACTTAGCCCCAATCATTTCAGGTTAAACATCAATTAATTTATTTTTAAATTCATTATTAACCTGGATATTTATAAGGAAACACGAACAGACTATTAATTTTTTTTTACTTGAATTAAGGCTTCGTCAGCAATAAATATTAATTGATATTATACCTTATTCATCCAAAAATCTTAGCAAATTAGTTCTCGCATATTTGCATGAATTTCTCCGAATAGAATTTGGCTTATGTGCGGAAAGTAGTATGTATTTTACATGATACACAATTTTGACAACATAGCAAAAATGATAGAAAGCTTCTTCAAGCAATAAACTGCCTTGAAGGTCAAAATAAGCATAGTTATTAAGTTAAAACTGTCATCATGTGTTGAGTCATAAGCAAAATGTCATTGACTAGGTTTTTGTACACTCCAGCATAATACGTTACAATGGGAAGTCAGAGTAGAAATTCTCACAGACAGCTGTATAACTTTGAAAACAAGGTTGTAACTGGCAGACTTGCAGCCTTTCAGAGTCAGAACGAAACTATGATGGCGTTTTCATAAGTCTGACATAAAGTTTAACTTAATTGATGTTGCAGTCATTTCGATTGTAACATGATCGTACACAAACAAGAAGCCTTACTGACGTATGGGCCGAGTTAGGTAGGGTGATTCTTGGTAATTTTTTGTAACCATATATAGCTTCTTTGTAATCATACTTGGCGTTTTTGTAATAATACCCAACGCCTTAGTTACCCATAGTTTACTGTGCTCTTGAAGTTGAGTAAATATTACTATCTTCTATGAATGAGGTAAAAAAAAAGGTATTAACTATTTATAAGTTAATACTTCCTATATTAATATTGACAATTTCCTTCGCTGTTGCTAGTATTTGATTCACAGCTATGTGTTTTTATTTATTAAAATTTATACGATACACCTTCTAACGTGGGAACCTCGGTGGTGCTAGATGCTTGCTCGCAAATCTAAAGGGTGCAGGGTTCAATCCAGGCACTTTTAACCTGGTTTACCCTTGACAATGATACAGGTCGGATGTACTGGCATAGAAAAAGAGTCCAGTCGGTTGGGACAATAAACCGATGCATTGTGCGAATGGCTTTATACCAGATCCACCGACAGTTGAAAATCATTTTCCCTTCATTGCGCACTGCATGGTTTTGGTCGTCTTCATGAGGTAGACCTACAGAAATGTAAGGTTTACAACCCCATTTAATGTCATTTCTAACATTTCTAGACCGCAACTATAAATAGAGCTTTCCTCATGATTTCAAATTTACTAGTTGAAAGTTTAAAGCAGAATTGTCATAAATCATTTGACCCAAATGAGTCTCTTGACGTTACTTAAACAAACCCTATTCAATCGGTCGAGTCCTCAAGAGACCATCCCAGAATCTTTTTATTCTATTCAAATATAATTCATAGTAAACGCAGAAGTTTTATCCAAATAATTAAAGTTAATGATATCAAAAATTTAAAATGTTCAAGATCAGCAAATGTTTTTCCCGAAAAAGGTGTATTTGACATATATTATTTTGAAGTTTAAGTAATGCTTATGTTGACTTTTTTTTCAGTAATAATTATGAAATTGCACAACCGCGTGAATCTGCCACCCATATATACTTTTAACTTTATTGACATCACAATACATGGCGCGAAATTTTGTAGCATGAACCTTTAATAATTGACTCTTAATTATTTAAGGAGGTCTTCCTTTATATACTAATAAATAATTATCCTTCTTCCCTTTTTAAAACATGAACTGAAGTTGAGTTAGTGTTTTTTTACATTCTAATGCACTGTACATAGTAATGTGTGTAGTTTTAGCCGATAAGTTTGTGTAGCCTTCGGTTTTATGCGAATGGACATAAATATTGGAGTAATATGTATACTAAAATCACGGTTCCAAGATACTTTCAGATTTCAAGGAATAAGAGCCCAAGACGAGGGTATCGTGTAGGGGTATGATACATGATACAGTATTCAGAGCAGCATAGTTGTAGTATCCTTGTAGTTCACTTTTGATGCTTGAGCTTGGTCCATAAGTGATGATATTGTTTAAAACGTGAAAATGTTAACGGTGATTTGGTTTCTTATCTGCATCACTCGTTGTTATACAAAAAATTCAGTTATATTCCGATGTTGATGTGTAACTGTTTCCTATTTCAGTTGTTCAGACACCTCTAGCTTCAATTTACACCTAAATAGTAATTTTACCTATTTTTGTTTTCAGATGGGTGATATACTGATATTCCATGCTCCTGACGGCGAAGCCTGGGCGAACTTCTTAACAAACAAACTGGTTAGCCCTTACTATGAATTACCTATTAGAAAAAGTCTATTCAACTCAGAGGGGTTCCATTTTTCAACAGAATGTCACGTACAAGTTCTCTTACTGACACCAGATTTGTTGGAAATCGCATCAAAGAATTCGACAAATTTTCTTGGTTTGATTCCCGGTCGATGTGTGGTGATATTACTTGGAATCAATAGAGAAGAAGTTCAGATGTGTTTAAGAGCTGGAGCTCAATGTGATCATTTATTTGCCTGTAAAGTGTGTTATGTGACCAATGACAGTACCACCATCACCAAAACTCTTGTTACTATCATCGAAACATTCGAGGAATTTAACCCAAGTGATGATGATATTTATTCTGTTCCACCCAAACCAATACAGATCAATCATGTCCACCAGATAATACCAAAACACGTCACACAGGTAAATAATAAAACTTTTAAATTCACCTAAATATTCAAATGATTCATTATTTCACTAATTAGGAACATCTTTAGGTTGAGTTACTTCAGATGACAGGTTGAAAACTAATAGGAATTTCATAACATTTCTTTTGATGATGGACAGTTGATTTTTATATCGGTTCTAAAAGCATGTCGCATATAGTCTGAAAATGAGGTGTATGCCTTAACTCTAGCGAAAAATGTGTACTAAAGGACCAACCAAATGTAATTAATGTAAATCCATAACACAAGATATTGATGTCACTACAAACCTTAATCAGAGAGTTCATTTAAGTTGACTGAGTGACCTCATTTCTGATTGACGATATATATATATATGAAGGAGTGAAAGTTGAAATTAAAACTAATAAAGTAATTAGTATTAATTAGAATGATGACGTGGAATGTAATAATATGTATCATCAATATGACATATAGTATGATATATTTATGATTTAAACATGCTACTAATCTCAAGTGATTATTGGGCATATTCTGTATTTGATATCGCCGCCCTACCTACCTTACAGCAGCAACTGCTCCCAAAGAATCCAGCCAATATGTACCTCAGTATATCATAGGCGGTAGACTTCCCCACATACCAAATAATATAAACTCGGCATCCCTTTCGGAGACTACACATTGCTCACATATTATGACTCTGCTGGTCGACTAGATTTAAACTATTAACTTTCTGTTTAAGCTCTTGACTATAAGTCCAAAACCTATATAGAATTTAAGCTTCACTTTAATGGTACTGAGGTGGGTGTCGCCAGCGATACAGGCTATACAGGGTATGATTACACACCTCCAGAACACCTAATGCCAACACGTCATCCTTTCTAGACTGTCCAAAGGAAATAGAAAAAAAAGTATTCAGTAATATTCAGTCATATCAACTGTATTTCAGGGTGGAAATGTTTACTTACTTCTCGATCGTAAATCAGACACAGATATTACAATCCAATGTGATCAGATTGATGAAGGTATTGTCTCAGACTGTCTGGATAAAGTTGTCTATAGCCTTAAACTTCCAGGTAAGAATTTGAAAACTGACATCATTGAATATTATTTGATGTGTTCATATATCTATCCGCGTATACATATGATATGGTGACAATCTCCAGTAAAAGATGCCGTGGTAAAACTTGCGTGTTCAGCTTCTATCTAACTGAAAATCAAAGTCCAAACTGGATGTTCACAATAAATAATAAATAATAATTTTTTTTTTTTTTGTAAACAATATTTTATTCAAAAAGAAAAGGATTGGGGACCAGGCTTCCGCCTATATCACCCGATAAGTAATTGACTTCTGAGGGAGTTTGGGAAGAACCAGCGCTGATTAGAAAACAGTTAAACTGCATCGAATCGTGCAAAACCATTGTGATGTTCAACATTGTGATCATAAATTCACATAACTTTGTTGAGAATTCGATCATCTATACCATACTCTACTGCCTGCAACATGACCAATTTGCTTGCATACTATCCCTACTACTACTAGGTGTTCTCTATATATTTTTGTTTTTTTAGAAAATATCAAAGGAAATGTTGATTTAAACATTATAACAGAAGACCAGGTCATTGGTGAAGGTCGAGTCACTGTGGACTCTAAATTAGACCAGATGAAATCGTTACTAGAAGACATCACAGATCCTATATATTTTCTCTGTCAATCTCTCGGACTATCAACTTACACCTCTGTAGCATTAGACACTGTTTTAACACAGAAATTAAAATATAAATCCTCCCCAGTATTATTCCAGCCCTTTTTATCGTTGAATGATGTACAGTTTTCAGGTAAGTTGTCGTGACTGGAGTGCTGTAGTTTTTATTCAGTATTTGGTAGTATATGTATTATGATTTAATAAGGGCTTGTAACTGTATATTTGATTGTGCACTGATTTTCTAATTTCGATGGAACGCTACCATTTCAATTCTTAATAGATAATTATTGCTTTCGGTTTTCTGAACAGCACTTTTCTATAAATAAAGAGACCTTTTTAAAGACCTTAATTCAGTATTCATTCCATGATTCTATCGATATTTCAGACGAAAAATGTAGTTCATGCTGGCCGACATTACTACACTTTGCTGCAGAGTATAATCTAAAAAAATTTACTGAGGAATTACTCAAATATCCTGGAATGATTGTAGCTGCTACAACAGAGAATTGTGAGGGTAATTTCCCATCTACAATTGCTGAACATAAAGGTCACATGGAGATTGGAAAACGTCTGTTAAATTTTGTCTTGGAGAACAAAAATGGTGAGTCGTTTTTACAAATTTTGCTACAAATTTTTTTTAATTTTTGGGTTTGGATATTTACTGTTCTTTTTATTGTGCTAAGTTTTGTGTGTTTTTTTTTTACTTTTTTGGTAATCGGTTTGTTTTATGTCGTAGTCTTCAAGGGATTCACGGGAAAACAACGGGCATGTACTAGTAACTAACAATTTGTGTTTGGGTAGATCATATTTTTTTAGTCCAAAGTCGTTAAAAATTTTCAAATTTCAAAACTGAAAACACGTGCGCCTAACGCCGTATTAAATGCATTGGGATGGACATACCATTACGTATTTTGGTCAATGGGATTTTATTGTTGATTAACTACTAATATTTCAGATATAGATAGTGGTATATTGACAGATCCTATTGCTTTAGACTTGCCACCACCGGAACCACATTTTCCCGCTAAAACTGTTCGATATGTCAATCAATTACAATCAATACCCGATCAACAGGTTTTACCGTCTGAAGATTCAGATTACATTAGAATGGATTTAGTTAACAGTACGATTTTTTTTTTCAACGTCTGTCTTTTGCTTTGTCGATCTTTCATCTTTTACTTGGCATGTTTTTATGCATTCTGGCTTTAATAGTTTATCTCTGTACTAATAATTCTGTCTTGTCGTAAACATTATAAATAATAATTTTTACCAGAGATATAGGCCTAGTACAACAGTACAGTTATCTGATCCAATTTAGGATATTTTTTTACACATATAAATATTTACAAAATTGACTTAATCTTGATATTAATTTCTATATTGGCATATTTTTTTGTTTATATAATTGACTATTTTTGTTACTTAATTAGTAGAAAAAAGTTCACCCAATAGTAGAGGAACAACACCAAATTTGTCCAGGAGAAATCAAAGAGGTAAACAGATTATTTCTTGAATCAATAGTTTATATTCTATAAATGTGACAAGGTTTATTAAACACATATACTACTATATAAATGAAACAATAATGCACACTAATTACTTTTCTGTATCAAATTGGGATCCATACTGTGACCATAGAATAGATGTATGATACGACTACAAATATCAATGGATATTAATCACTCCCCTTATTATATTTTAATCTTTAGGTCAGATGTTTGCTGGAAACAGATCAGCTTCAGATAATGATGCTTATAGAATGTCTTTAATGAATAGAGATGGTACGTTTAAATGTATTAACCTAATACTATTTTCCCTGTCGTTATTTAATACTTGACGATTTCTCGTGTTTATTTATATATGTTCAAAGGGCACAAAAAACCCAGTGCCAGAATCTTAATCTGTAAAATAGAAACATACCTACTGAGATTATACTCAGATAAGTGTTATGGTATTATGGCCAGCACGGCATTACATTTGTATATCTTATTAAATAGAGTCACCAAGACGTCTGGTGAAGGACCGAGAACTACCAAGAGCCCCTTATATACCAAAGAAACCAACAAGTCAGTCATTCGACAGTTCAATAGACGAAGATGAGGATGATGCTATTTATAGCGTCCCCCCTCCAGCTTCACCTCTCATCCAACCACGATTTAGACCGGATGTTTTCAGTGATACCAGTAGTCATAGATCTTCAACAATATCAACAGCATCTTCTACCACCAGCAACCATCAGCTATCTACTAGTCAACCAATATCACCAGTTAAAGGTATGTTTAGTGATGGACACTTTTATTTGTAACCCCTTCTTAGAGAGTTCCGTTTAATTGGTGATTGATTCAGGGTAAAAGTATCTTCCTTATATTTCGATATTCTTGCCACCCTTTTCACTTTGTCCTTTGGTGGATACTGCAATAAGGCACAGATGGGGAGGACATATTTCAATTGATACCACAATTCATTGATGAATATAATATAGCAAATTGTTCAAACAAATCACTCAAATATCCAATATAATGAACCAGTACATTACTTATATTCTAATAGTGTAAGGGGGAACCTATTTATCTAGAGTTATTTTTTTACAGTTGAGGTGACACATTCCGAAGCAGGTAGTCCATCAACATTCTGTATCAGTGAGATTAGTTTCCAGGAGCAAGCTCAGTCCAAACTCTCTGCCCAATTTTTATCAGTAGATTCCGGGTCGGTATGTACACGAATCATCTAATTAGTTGCAGATTTAATCACAGACAGTATAATAGCGTGACAAAGCAACAATAATTTGTAGCTTTTGCACGATCATATAACTCTTCCACCAAGAAGATTGTACTTTGTTTATGTGTCTGTTTTTATAGTTTTCTCTTTATTTGAATTGCATTTTAGTCTTTCAATATTACCTCTGATTTATTAACAGAGAGAAGACGTGAGGGTTGATAAATCTATAAGAAGAAATAAAACCATTCAAGCTAAGATCTCATCATTCCTTAGAAAGTTTAAGACAAAGATGAACAGTAGTGCTGATGTACCAAAAACTGAAAAGGTAACTACATATTTCCAGGAATAGGGTTTTGACTATCTTATTACTTTCTTATGTTGTTCAATATAATCCATGAGACAATCCAACGTTTTGTCGATGTTTATCTTTAGCTAGCTACTCGGTTTGTTTCTTATGTACCGTGTGTCATTAGGAAATATATCTTTCGTTCTTCCCTTTTCATATCTTCTAGAGATTTTATCAATACTTTCGTGTGAATAAACTCCGCATCAGAATGAGCTATCATCTTGATAGTTAAACCGAATCGTGACTTCCTGGTAGCTTTCACAACGTCAGTTTCACTTTCATTTTCAGAATTTAATGGGTAATACATTTAGCTGATGAAATTATTTGATATATTTTGCTACGCTCAATTTTGCTTGTGTATTTGTAGAGAAGTAAAATCTATGGGCGATCAATTGGAAGTGATCCAGGGTTTGATAGTGACAGTACTTTAGCTGCTTTAGTCTTTGGTAAACAAGGCAGAGCTGGTAGTTTATCTTCAGGTAATAATAACAGAATATGAATAATGCCCGAAATGAGGGAACAAATAAAGTATTTAACTCGTGGATTCTTGATCTTTGAAACATAGTTGATATAGGCACATTTGAAGAGCCACTTCCAGGGAATAACCATTTCTATCCTTCATAAAGACACTCACCGGCTGGTAGATATTGTATAGAAACAAGTACATGCCATAATCACAAAGAGAAAACCGACAAATCGCAACACTTTAATTTAAATTCTAAAATTAATTAGTCATCATTAATTATCGAAATGTCAATGAAAGATTAATAAGGCCCTTTATAACGTTTACATTGGTAGTTAGTCTGATTGATGCATGAACTATTCGAGATAGCCTACAATCATTGGTAACAACAACATTCATGATTTAATGTTATTTAAATGTTTTCCTATAGTTTTCATTCTGCTTACCTATTGTAGATAAGGTTGAAGTAGAGACTGAAAGAGATAGTGGTAGTTTTAGTGAAGAAGACGATGATAAAATACATGCCATGAAAGAGGTGGGGGTGTATAAGATACTTGTATTTCTAGGGCTTATTGTCTGAGTAAAGTCAATATTTTTGGGGCTAGTTGTTCATTATTTTTATGAAAATTGGAATAGCAGCCTCTAAAATGTACTGTTAGTCTGAAAATGTCTTTACGTTAATAACATAAAATACACATGAGCAAGCATTTGCAAAATTTGTTTTTACAGAGTACAATTTTTAGCCAAAATTTGGGTTGAAATTTCTAGGAGAGAAATGTGTTTCTTTTCGATGGAGCTACAAAAGAACAGGTACTTTCATTACTTACATCAGCCTGACCGTGGAACGTTTCTTCCTGGTTTATATGAACTTGCGAGGCGTCTTATCAAAACTTTGTTTATTTCAGTCTGTGGCCAAAAGGGATGTGAAAAAGACAAAGAAGGGCGACAAAGCTGGTCTTGTAAGTAAATTTTACCAATTCTTCACTCTTAACACCAATTATCAATCCTGGTTTGACACGAGATTTTATTTTTCACATAATTTTTTCTTATCTGTATTGGACTTTTATATCCTAAAAAATTGCGTTTTTATTTATTTAATAAGACCTACATATAACTTTTAATATAGTATAATTCTGATTCGGTTTTGTTCTCAATGCTTAAGTTTTCTAAATCAGATTTCTGATGCTTTATTGGAAACAAAATATTTATACAGTAACTTGATCAATATTCTGATTACAGGCAAGGAAGAAATCAGTCCGCGTAACTAGAGTATTGAAAGAAGAAACAACTGATGCGCCAGTTGTACCAATAAAACCATCACCAGATAATGACCTTCTTTAGGGTGCAAATAATTTCTGGTTGTAGATTTGTACAGTGACGGCTGCAGAACCTTGTACTGGGAGGGGCCAACAAAAACTATTTTCGAATACCTAGGAAGGGTCGGGACATTGGTTGTAAATAAAGGGCTTAAATCCTACTTTTTATGCAATTTGAAAGAGTATTCTTTTAATATTATCTTGTATAAATGATAAATTAAATGAGAAGTAACAAAGTAAATTGAAGAATACTCCCACCTTGATACTCTTCAAACAGTAAAAAGTTTGCATAATATTATGAAAAAATTGGAATATATAGACCATATATTATACCTTATGTTAATATGCATTCGTTAACCCTAACAGGGTCAGAGTTTCTTTAACACATGGTTTGAATGTAGGTTTATTATTACGGCTTACTGTATATCGCCTGATATGGAGATTTTATTCTTTAGTCATGGCTTTTTGACAAAGTTGAGACTTTGAATTTTATGACTAAGAGGTAGTATTCCTTTCAGCGATACTTCCATTCATTGCTTTAGTCGAAATGAATTTACCAACATATGCTCACTATTTGTTATAATGCATGTATTAATGGTTGAATGTCTTTATTTGTAAATTATTTTGTGTAATAAAATTGTGAATAATTCTTTTTGAATAAACGTAAACATATTGTGTATTCTTTTTTCTGACATAGTGTCAACAGCTACAATGTGCCAAAACTTTTTTACCCGAGAACGTTTTCGATTTATAAACAATAGAGATTGCGTTCTTTAACTTCATTGGACACTATCAGGTACAGGTTCTTTTCAAGCGATGCGTTGTATTGTGTATCAGATTTGATTTTGTCAAATAATACTTAACTGGTTCTCTATTTTATAAATTTAACAAATAAGTCAGTTTTCGGTCAAGGGTACTGCAGGTACTGCCACATGCTTTATAAGCCAGATAAAACATTTTCCCTCGGGTTTTTATGACATTTAAAACCCCTTCCCTCGGAAAATCCCTCGGTATGCGGGATTTAAAACATAATAAAAACCCTCTGCTGTGTTTTACCCTATGCATAATCATAATATGTATAATATAATATGCCTTGACTTACGGAAAGAATTCTAAAAATCTTTAATTTTTCTCCAGCTTTTCTATAATTATGTATTGCAAGCCAAAATTAGACATATTCCAATTATTTATAACATGAATTGGTTTAGTGGGGTTCGGTCTAGGCTAAGATAGTGAAAGTACGAATTTTTTATTTATGCCGTTAAGGTTTCTTCCAATTTCTCCCTATCTCATTTCGCCTGTTTAGCCCTGACATCTTAGTTCTGTTTTTCCACATAAGAGATTATTCTTTTTCCGGGTTTGAATTTCGATCGAAACCGGTATTGTGGAGTTTTAATTTGTAATCTCTTTTCTGCATGCTTATGTCATTCAAATCCAAATTCTTTAACGAGGACATGATTCAACTAAGCTTTTATAATTTATAAAGAGAGTCTTTTATAACACATAATAAGGTGTAAACAAAATATATTTTCAGAGAAGGTAAAATAGGTGTATTTTGAGTGAGTACATTAGTGGATTAGTGCATAAGCACAAGTGTAACACTCTTGCATCGATAAAAACATTATATACCTAATTTCTTGTAAAAAATGTGACGTTCAATATGTTGGCGAAACTCAAAACGCGTTGCGTACTCGTCTTAGCGGTCATCGCTTCGATATACTCTATAAGAAAGATAGACCAATTGCGAATCATTTCAATTTACCCAATCATTCCATTGAAGATCTTTTTGTTTTGCCTATAGAAAAAGTACCTGTACCAACATTGATCAAACCAAAAACCAAGCGATTGCAAAGGGAGAGTTTTTGGATAGACCAACTACAAACAGTCATATCTAACAGCCTAAATATCCAATATGACACAACCAAATCATACCCTTCATTGCAACCTACAATACTACAGCTAAAAATGTCTCTGTCATTGTCAAACGCTTTTATAATGAGCTCCAAGATGAATTTTCAAACGTTTATACTAAACGTTTAGTCACTGCATATAAAAGAAATAAAAAACTGTAGTAATGTATTGGTTCATGGTAGATTAGAATCCCTTACATCAACTCCCTGAAACAATTGCATTGGAATTTGAGTTGAATATATTTTTTCTTGTAATTTCTCTAGAAGTAATAATCTATGAATAATCTTCATAAAAAAAAAACATATTCTGTTTCAATTGAAATAGTTTTCATGTTGAAATCCATAGTCTTTACTTGTGATCTAGGCCAGTGCTTCTATAGGAGAGTATCTTCTATAACACCTATAACTAACCCGCACGTTTGACCTGGATACAAAGTGTTGAGTGACACCCAGATAACTCTACACTTTGAGATATTTGGGAAACAATTTAACACTAGTTTTAATCTAGTACTACTCTAGTGTTCCAAGTATCCCAACTCAGCGTTTCAGAACACTGGCTTAGCATGAGTTTTCATATCCCTTTAACACTAACCCCCAGAAGTTTACACGATGCAGAGGCCAGCTAAAGATTACATTAGTGTAGTGTTATCGTTTGCCGGTATGTTTTTCTTGCCCATCAACTAGGCAGTGGCTGCTAGACAGGATAATTTTTAAAGACAGACTGCTTCAAGTAGTGCTAGAACTTTTTCGTTTGTATTTGACAAAAGCGTTTAGTCAGAGTCACGTGGGCTTAGGTCTGACATTAGAGTAACACTAGAGTGACACTAGAGTACCACAAGAAAAAATGGGAGTGGGTTAAGCTGTTGTTTTGTAAGTGTGACACTGATGCTATTGTTATGGTGACTGGATTAACACAAACCCTCTGTATGAGATTTGGAATTTTGTGTACATTTTAGGAACTTTTCTTTTCGTTACAAATTTGTCTTGTGCTTACGTATTATACAATAGTTCAGATTATCACATTTTGAAACGCACGTAACAAATTCTGGCTTGATGTTCGTGTCTATTATGATTGATTTGACGTAATAAGAATACAGCCCTATTTTTCAATATAAGTTTCTTTCTCTCCAATGAATCTGCTAAAATTATAAGCCTTACAGCCAGAACCATTCCATGACAGATTGTCGCCAGATCTCCCACATGGACCGACGAGACGGATAAGCCAGGAATTTAGAATAGAAGCCAATTTTCGCAAGTTTTAGAAATTCATCTGGAAGGGAAATTTCTAACCAGTAGCCACGAGATCGACCTTTGACCTTCACCCATTAGTTGAGTGCATTGTGAAAACATTACCGTAAACCTCTTAAAATCCTACCAATATTTAAAAGAAAATGTCGGATTTGGCCAAAAAGAGACAGATTAGGGGTGGGCATAGAGCGTCAGCCAAACGCATGATGAATAAAGCAAGCAGATTAATTGAAAGCCAAATAGATGATGATGAAAATGGTTCAATAACAATTAAATTAAGCCAAATTAAAAGATCACTGGAAAGAAAAATTGAAACATTAGAAGAACTGAATTCTACGTTGATAGAACTTACAAAGGCAGAAGATGTCGCAGCTGAAATTGACGAGTCGGATGCCTTCAGAGACGATATTGAATTCGCCATTATTGATATAAATCTAGCATTGTCTAAACTATCAAAACCAAAAGTTAACCGGAAGTTACAAAGCCAGAAATTTCACAGAACATAGATCAAAGCCAGGAATTGTCATTTACAAGCCACCAGGACCCACATAGCCAGAACCTTGCAGAACCGGACGAAAACACATCTTCATCTACAACTCCAATGTCAGAAAATGGTAGTATAAATTCAAAAAGTACAAAGCGTGTTAGAGTAAAATTACCAAAATTAGAACTTAAGAAGTTTAAGGGAGATTCCATTGGATGGTTACAATTTTGGGAAACTTTTGAATCCTCAATATATCTGAACGATGAACTTTCGGAGATTGATAAATTCAACTACCTACATACCTTGATGGAAGGTGAAGCTGCAGACGCCATAACGGGTCTACCTGTTATAGGATCGAATTATCAGGAAGCCATAGCTATATTGAAAAAACGGTTTGGAAATAAACAGAAAATAATAAACAAGCATTCAACAAACCTGCTTCATTCAGACTCAGTTCGTGACATATCCAACTTAAAGGCTCTGAGAAGTTTATATGATAATATTGAAGCAAACGTTAGAAGTTTGAAATATCTCGGTATTTCAGTTACAACTTATGGTGCCCTGTTATCACCGATCGTAACAAAGAAACTACCAAAGGAGTTGCTGCTGATAATTAGCAGAGAACTGAAAGAACAAGAATGGAATTTAGATCTAGTTATGAGGCAATTCGAAACTTGAAGCCAGGGAAAGAACAGAAAATCGTGAACCGACAGAGATAATTCTTCGCATCAGAGCCATAGCAAGGGGTATAGAAAACCGTACACTTCACCTTACAACAAACCTGCTACAGCTACAGCCACTGCCGTTTACACAGATACATCTACGCAACAAGCAGCGAGAACAACGCACTGTACGTACTGTAGAGGTCAACACACGTCCACATCTTGTAAAATAGTTAGTAATGTTGATGCCAGAAGAGATATTCTAAACAAGTTTAAAAGATGCTACATCTGCCTTCGTCGGGATCATTTCAGCAGAAATCAGGAAGAGTATGTCCAATTTGCAACGCTAAACATCATGTTAGTATCTGTCCGAAAAGGGAACAGTCACAGCCTCAGCCACCAGAACCCAGAACTTCACAAGTCAGTCAAAGCCAGTCACAACCAGTCAATAATAGTACTTCATCGTCATCTACTACCCTTTACACATACCAAGAGAAACACCGTCGCCACGTATTTTTACAGACAGTCAGAGCCAATATGTCCGCCACTAGCGAGTCAAATAAAGTAGTTAATGGTCGCCTACTAATGGATGGTGGAAGTCAGAGATGTTATATTACTTGCCGAATGAAAAGAAAACTTGGATTGAAAACCCTAGCCACCAATAACATTGTCGTTAAAACCTTTGGTTCTTCAGATGGAATCAGTCAAACTGTAGATGTCGTTGAGTTGATTATAACATGCATGGGTGGAGAACGAAAAATAATTACCGCCTATTTTGTACCATTAATTTGCCAGCCAATTATACGGGGAAGTTTTGCAAAGGTTAAGCATCATTACCTACAATTCTCCAATCTAACCTTAGCCGATTATAATATAGATGAAGAAGGTACCGGTACCACAGATATCGACGTTCTCATCGGAATGGACCATTATCTCTCAGGTTCTGTTGAACTAGGAACTGGGCAAAATCACAATGTTTTCATCACCACATTGCATGTATCAGCCGAAGACAATCGCCTGGAAGAACAATTACACAGATTTTGGGAGGTCGAAGCCGTGGAATTAACGTCCACATCAATACTAGAAAGCCTTCGAGATAATTTGAATTTTGATGGGGTCAGATACACAGTGAAGTTGCCATGGAAACAACCACATCCATTATTGCCAGATAATTATTCCTTGAGTCTCAAAATATTTAGAAATTTATATAAAAAGTCAATCCAAAACTTTTGAACGAGTATGACGCCATCATTAAAAATCAGATCAGCCTTGGGATCGTTGAAGAAGTAGATGTAGAATCACCAGATATTGGAAATGTCCATTATTTGCCATGCTGTAATACGTCAGGACAAGTTGACCACAAAACTATGCATTGTCTACGACGCTTCATCAAAATCCGAAGCCGTGGGATTAACGTCCACATCAATACTAGAAAGCCTTCGAGATAATTTGAATTTTGATGGGGTCAGATACACAGTGAAGTTGCCATGGAAACAACCACATCCATTATTGCCAGATAATTATTCCTTGAGTCTCAAAATATTTAGAAATTTATATAAAAAGTCAATCCAAAACTTTTGAACGAGTATGACGCCATCATTAAAAATCAGATCAGCCTTGGGATCGTTGAAGAAGTAGATGTAGAATCACCAGATATTGGAAACGTCCATTATTTGCCATGCTGTAATACGTCAGGACAAGTTGACCACAAAACTATTCATTGTCTACGACGCTTCATCAAAATCCGAAGGTTTGCCATCTTTAAACGATTGTCTTCGTTGGTCCTTCGTTGAATCAAAAGATATTCGACATCACCGTACGTTTTCGTACTCATCGCATTGGTAGCAGACATAGAGAAGGCCTTCCTGATGGTAGCTATTGACGAAAAGGATCGGGATTACGTCATATTCCTGTGGCTTGATGATATCAACAGTTTCGAACCACAACCAAAGGTTTGGTTTTCAGATTCACCAGAGTGGTATTTGGATTGACATCGAGTCCATTTCTCTTGAATGCCACTATAAAATGTCATATGGAACAGTACGCCACGGAGCAACCAGATTTTGTACATAAATTTCTGCGATCCATATATGTGGACGACCTAACTGCGGGAGCAGCCACTGATCAGGAAGCCAAGGAATTTTACGAAAACGCCAATTACAACCTAGCTTCAGCTGGATTCAACCTTCGAAAATTTACTTCAAATTCAAAGTCACTTAACCAAATAATAAGCCAGAAAGAAGCCGCAAATGGAATGAAAATTGACAATGATCTCGTAGAGCAAGTAATCAGGGAAGAAGATAACACGTATACAAAGTCCATATTAGGTGATTCCACTTATGAAGATGAACAAATTCTTGGTGTGAGATGGAATTCAACATCAGATCATTTCATCTTTGATATCAGTAAAATAGCTGATGCCAAAGACAATACCCCAACCAAACACCATGTAGTCAGTGTAGCCGCAAAATTTTTCGATCCACTTGGTTTCCTTTCGCCATTCATCGTTAAATTTAAGCTTTTCTTTCAAGAACTCTGCCGCACCAATCAAGATTGGGACACCCCATTAGAAGGAGAATATCTTAACCATTGGAACCACCTTTTAGCCGCACTATCATCTATGCCATCGACATCTATTCCGAGACGTTTCAATTGTGGTATACTTGAGACAGTAACCAGTTATGACGTCATTGGATTCTGTGATGCCTCAACCATAGCCTATGCCGCACTTGTTTACCTGAGAATTAATACCCCTAATGGTTCCTTCATCAGATTTATAGCATCAAAGACAAGAATTTCGCCGCTTTCCCATACCACTATACCAAGACTGGAATTGCTGTCCGCTTTGATACTTCCTCGACTAATTAACACCATCAATGAAGTTTTAAAGGAAGACATCCAGATATCAAACACAATATGCTTCACTGACTCCAAAGTAGCATATTATTGGATAATTAACGAAGCTGGTGAATGGAAGCAATTCGTTCAAAATAGGGTAAACGAAATCCACACACTCACATCAGTCAGCAGTTGGAGACACTGTCCCGGAGCCAGCAACCCAGCAGATTTGCCTTCAAGAGGAGCAGATCCATATTTATTCTTGAAGACCAGAATGGCTGCCAGAGTATTCGATACAGAGCCAAGAGCCAGCTGAAGATGGGAACTCTCTGCCTGAAACAATTTGGTATGAGATTTGGAATTTTGTGTACATTTTAGGAACTTTTCTTTTCGTTACAAATTTGTCTTGCGCTTACGTATTATATAATAGTCCAGATTATCACATTTTGAAATGCACGTAACAAAGTCTGGCTTGATGTTCGTGTCTATTATGATTGATTGGACGTAATAAGAATACAGTCCTGTATTCAATAGGTAAATATAGGAAGATAAAAAAAAGGGGATTTTCTAGAGGGAAACACCAGTTATTATGTGACGTTATTATATACGTACAGTCTTATTGGCTATTATCATAAACCACGCCTTATTAAAATAATTTTGACTATAGGTCATTTAGGGAGCTCATAACATAATCATATTTCATACAGATACCATATCAGTCTGGAAGCAGACGTCAACTGCGAAAGCCTCCAGCACCATTTTGTTCTCTTTGCACAAGTTGACATCAATGAATGGTAAATCGAAGAACTGCAACTTATCCTGAAGTATGTGAAACGTTATTTGTAAAGAAAAGTTTTTGTACCAGGAAGAATAATATACCGACGAACAGGGTGAACTTAACTATTCAACTTTAATAAGTAACATACACTGCAGATTGCTATATTATCATAAACAGGATATATATTTGTCCAGAAACAAAATATACTAGCTACGAAGGCTTTTGGAAATTATTTCTGTTACACTTTGGGAGATGTAGGCTGTATACTCTCAACAATGTCTGACAATATACCAATGAGGCAAATGTGTGAGGAGGTAAAGTCAAAATTTTTTGGTGTTTTAGATGAATGTATTAACATAAACAATGAACTAGTAGCAGAATTGAATCATTTTGAGAACAGAAGGCGATATGGAATATCTGAACAGAGGGACTTGACGATAGCAAGTGACGCCTGGAGGCAGTTAGTAGACAATATCAAGGAACAGAAAAAAGTGTTGGAAGAAATAACTACAACCTACCGAAAATTGTTCAGTTATAATGGATGTGGTAAGTAGGTCATTCTAACAATCATGCAGGGTTATCTGTTAACCATAACTTTGGAAAACGTCTAAGGGTTACTACAAATGCCATCAATGATTATTGATTGCGCTACCATTTCACAATGGCTTTAATATTTTACTGATGCTTTGTTCTGTAAAGCAACAGCCAATACCATTAGTTAAATCTTATTTAAATGCTCTCCAACGAAAAATTGAATTAATTTGGTGCATACAGACACATATTTTGGGGTAAAAAAGTATTTTTAAATTTGTTGAAATAAACTGGGACAAACTGCCAATCATCATCACACAGTTGAACAAATCATCTGAGATATCGTATTATTTCACGTTTTATGGGCAAAATAGTACATACGATTTGGAAAATGTATACCAGCTTAGCAATAAAAACAAGCGCCATTTTTGTTTATTTCTGGTTGACTACACCGATAATATATTACACAATCTGTACAATTAGTACTTCTGAAGACTATTTTTTAGGTTAAAATGGCTGATGGTCGGAGGTACCTTACCCTAGCCTACTGCCACATGACAAAGTTGCAATATCGATGAAACGATATTCATTGATAAGCTTAGCAATTGTCATCATTTAAACGATTTATTTGAGAAGCGTAAATATATCTGAATCGAACCGAAATTCTCTAAATCATAATTGCATTAATTCCGCGAATAACATATATACTGGTGTGCTTATCATATATTATATATTAATATTTTGTTACAAATTTGTAATTACAGGATGTAAAATGCGGTTAGAAGAGATTGAATGCAAAGGAACAGGTAATAAGATAATGCTCGTAAACACCTTTGGGTCTGTTACAGTGGCGGCTAAGCCTGTTACAGCGACCGACCGTTTGGTTTCTTACAATAATAGGTGGATCTGTTTCAATGACGGCTGGGTCTCTGTGGCGTCTGTACGGGGGATACCAAGACCCCCCGAAAAGAGGCTTGTCCGGGTGAAAGAATGATCTGTCGCACCCCCTCCCCCTCTCACCTGAAAAGTTTAGTGGCCCCTGCTCGGTCCCTTCACCCGATGTTTCCTAGAGTGATCCTCAGTCTTACAATGACGAGTGGTTCTGTGAAATTTAGTCTGTTACAATGCTACCGCAAAGTCCCAGTTTGTTATCGAAATGTCCATTCTTTTTTTTTTTTTTTTTTTGTGGGACTTTGCTACGGCAAAGTCCCAGTTTGTTATCGAAATGTCAATTCTTTTTTTGTGGGACTTTGCTACGGCTCTAGTTGTGGGACTTTGCTTTCAGCAAAGTCCCAGTTTGTTATCGAATTGTCAATTCTTTTTTTTTTTTTTTTTTTCCGATTTTTACACACCTTCCTGAGCTTAGACTACAATAGTTGCAGCAACCATTCAACATTCACGAACCTTAGATATAGGCGACGATGTGCATACATATATTTTGGATCTTTTTTGCAAAACCGGAAGTGCCACAGTTCAATATATGCAAGAATAGATAATCGGCTCTAGAAGTCGTATTTTTCGGTCGATTTTCTTTGGGTTTGCATTTTTGGAATCTACTGTTAAAATCTGAAAGAATAGCAGTTTCAAAATTTCAAAATTCGAAAATTTGTCGCAGACATTTTTTTTGCCAAATTTTGCATTTTTTTCATTTTTTTTGCTTTTTGTCTGATTAATCTGAAAAAAATTGAGCAAAGACAGTTTAAGAATGTAAACAAAATGGTACAGTCAAATTTTCAATTTCACTTCCGGTTTAAACAGGAAAACGATGTTCACTTCCGGTTGAATATCTTCCGGTGTAATTTGTATAGGACAAAAATTTTTATGCTGATAGGTAGACAAAGTTATGACAAAAAAACGAAGAAAAAAAAATCCGGAACACACGTGAAATTTTGGCCGCCATTTTGATTTTTCTGAAATGATTCGATTTTTATTCAGACATAATGGCTCATCCGATTTAAATGATTTTGGTGTCAAATGAAAGAAGATAAAAAAAAACATGACATTAGGAAGCCGTTTTTCGATTCTCAATTTTGCTTTTTTGCAACATCCGGTTGAATTTTTTCAAAGTTTGAAGGGTCATATCTCGTGATCGTGAACTTTGATGACCTTGACCTTCATAAGGTCAAAGGTCATTGACCATAGCTATCAGTTAATACTTTGACATTTGACCTCCGACATGTACTTCCGGTTTTATAGCTGTCCGAAAACAGCCAAATTCGCAACTTTGGACTGCTCTAGCCCGTGACCTATTTAACCTAGAGGGTTAATTTTGTCGGATTCTTAATGTGCTTTTCATGCTCTTTCAAATGAATTATAACAATCGTTTTTTAAAGCAAAATTGAAATTCGTGAATTTTTCAAATTTGAGTTTTTTTTTACAATATTTCTGTTTCTTTGAGCGTGGTGTGTATATATCTTATGACCTATTTTATGTAGAACATTGAAACTTGGAACACAACAAGACAATTTGAATATAAATTAACCTATGACAAAAAAGTTGAGGTGGGCGTGGCACATCCGGGTGGAATTACTAATTGTTTACATTTTGGGAAAGGGGCATAACTCGCATAGGATACATTTGTTCAAAAAGGAACTTTGCACACAATTACCTTATTTTTTTGGCCAGTTTGTGTTAATAGGTCAATTGTTTCAGCTTTATAGTTCCAAAAAAAGGAACGGGTTTTGAAATTTCCATATTTTCAATTTTCTATTTTGACCTTTATTGACTCTTGTTGACCTATATCTTTTGACCTGTATGATGTAGAAGCTTTAAATTTGGAATACTACATAACATTCAGAATATCAATTAACCTATGCAAAAGAAATTAAGGTGGGCGTAGCACATCCGGGTTAAATTACTCATTATTGACAATTTTGACAAGGGACTTAACTCGCAACGTATACATTTGTTCAAAATGGAACTTTGCATACAATTACTTCATCCGTTGAGCCACGTTGTCTTAGAAGTTCGATTGTTTCAGCTTTATAGTTCAAAAAAAGGAACAGGTTTTGAAAATTCAAAATTTTCAATTTTTGACCTTGACCTTTTTTGACCCTGATTTTTGTAGGATCAAAGGTCATTCAAATTGGTTATCTATTTATACTTTTATATTTGCTGTCCTATCTCAACTTCCGGTTAT